AGATTCTGGCACTCCGAGCCGGACAAACGCATGCCGCCATTGCGCCGGTTGTGAGCGCCAGGCGCTCCAGGGGGGCGCTGGCTTTGCAGAGCTTTGCAAAGTTCCCTCTGCTGGCGACTGTCAGGGCATGGTAGCGCAACGTAGCGCAACGCGGGCATGCGTTTGTTGATGTGCTGTGCTGTTGCCCTCGCTTCCGCTGCACCCGTGGTTGGAGTTCATGCGAACGGCGCTCCTTACGGAGGCAAGACCGTGAGAACCCGTAGGGCCCTGGGGCCGTAGGAGCCAAAGGCAAAGAGCTTGAAGGCCTGATGGGCAGCTTGTATACCTGTTCTGGGATCATGGGACCGGATTAGTCAACAGTTCGAGCAGGTTGCGGACCATCCGCCAAACCATCAGATGACAGAGTGAGTCAGAGAGGGTTTCGAGGCTTCAAAGTTTTTGCCTTCGGCAGAGTTTTTATCGAGTGACGCCATGGCTGCTGTGAAAATGCTTGCGCTGTTGAGCGCAGTCTGCATCCTCACAGCCGTGGCCGAGGAAGTTGCGAAGCTGTCACTTGGCGACTGGCATGTCTGTGCGATGGGCTCACAAGGCTCCGTTAAATGCTGGGGGAACAACGGCAATGCTCAGTTGGGGCAGGGGGACGACGTCAGAAGAGGTGATGGCGCGAACGAGATGGGCAAGTCTCTGCCGACCATTGATTTGGGGACAGGACGACATGCTCTCGAAGTGAACTCGGGGGCTAGCCATAATTGCGCCAGGCTGGACGATGGTCTCTTGAAATGCTGGGGTTATGGCCATCTAGGTCGGCTAGGCTATGGAGACCAGGTGCAAAGAGGAGGTAACAGTGATGAAATGGGGGACTTCCTCCCCACCGTGGAGCTCGGAACAGGGCGTACCGCCGTGCAGCTAGCCTTGGGTTACGAGTTCAGCTGTGCAGTCTTGGACAACGCCTCGGTAAAATGCTGGGGACAAGGTGGATATGGTCAGCTGGGCATAGGAACCACCTCGAACATGGGGGCCGGGAGCAGTGAGATGGGAGACCACCTCCCACCAGTCGACCTAGGTACCGGTAGGACGGCAGCTGATGTGACCGCCGGCTCATACTTTGCCTGCGCACGCCTTGACGATAGCTCCCTCAAGTGCTGGGGCCACGGTGAGTATGGCCAGCTCGGGATCGGGAGCAATTCGTATACGGTTGGGAGGGTCAGCGGCGAGATGGGAGACAATCTCCCAACTGTGGACCTTGGAACAGGCCGCACCGCCGTCGAGCTGAGCGCCGGAGTATTTCACGCATGTGCGAGACTCGACAATGGCTCTGTAAAGTGCTGGGGGAGGAATAACAACAACCAGTTAGGCCTGGGCTTTGCCACCTCGATTAACATGGGAGACGATGCGAACGAGATGGGAAATTATTTGCCCCCAGTCGACCTCGGCACGGGCAGGACAGCGGCAGAACTGTCATCAGGAAAATATCATACTTGCGCCCGCCTGGATGATGGCACCATCAGATGCTGGGGCAAGAACGAGTATGGCGAACTCGGCCACGCAGGCACCCTGCCCAGCAACGTAGATCTCGGAACCGGCAGAACTGCGGTCCACGTGGCCGCAGGTGGCTATGTTACGTGTGCACTCCTGGACAACCAGGAAACAAAATGCTGGGGAGGAAACACTTTAGGCATGTTGGGCCTTGGTGACACCCAAGACAGGGGAAAATCGAGCAGCGACATGGGAAACAGCCTCCCAGCTGTTGACATAGTTTTCCCCACCACCACGACCACAACCGGCACTACTAGCTCTCTGACGATGACCAGCAGCAGCAGCAGTAGCAGCAGCTCCGCCACCATCACCATTAGCACCACCAGCACCAGTAGCAGCACCAGCAGCACCAGCTCTAGCAGCACGAGCTCAAGCAGCACCAGCTCAAGCAGCACATCCACGCGCACCGTGACAACCACCACGAGCACCTCAACCACGAGCGCCAGCACATCCAGCAGCACGGGCACAAGCCGAACAACGACCAGCAGCTCCGCCTCCAGAACCAGCAGTTCGACAACCACCCTGACGAGCACCTCAACCACAAGCGTCTCATCAACCGGAACGACGAGTGGCTTGGCCGTTTCGGATGTTGAAGCGAAGCGAGAGTGTGCTGCTATTGAATGCTGCCATTTCTGACGATAATGCATGTGGACTGACAACGTCATGCGTTTTGGGAAATTAATGCATGTTGTAATCTTGGCACGCGAAGCTGCAGAAGCTCGGGCCTGAGCTTAGTTCCAGGGGACCAGGGGAAGGGAGCCGGAGCGTGCTGAGCGGCTGCTCTCCAAGGTTCTGCCACCAGCTCCACTGCCGCCACCGACGAGGCCAGAGAGGCGATGCGCAAGCAGGACCACCCTGCTCACTCTGTTTGGGGTCTCAAGGATTCAGCCCTTCAGCCGAGGACAGTGGGCCCATTGCTGGCAAGAGAGCATAACTACTTAATAGTAGTAGTAGTAGTAGTAGTAGTAGTAGTAGTAGTAGTAGTAGTAGTAGTAGTAGTAGTAGTAGTAGTAGTAGTAGCTGAACACCGAATTTCCCATGCGGGGGGCGTTCCCTCAGCGTGGCTGTTAACAAGCAGCCTGACTCAAAGACCCAGCTCCGTCTTCGGTCCTTCGGTCTCCGCTGTCCCGTCCGCCGAAAATGAATGTAGTAAGTTGCGAGATCTCCCCGTTTGCCAGGAGGCTGAGGCTGCAGTGAAGGAGGCCGAGGCTGCCACCGAGGCCGCGTCGCAGCGTCTGGCGGGGGGGGGGGCCGGGGTCCGCTTCAGGGCGAGTGGTTTTTTGGGGCGTCGATAAAACCAGAATGGGGTTTGGAGATGTCTGGGGGGTATATTATGGTATTACAGTAAGGAACCCTACGGAATAGTGTTGGCAATTATTTGGGCTTCTAAGGTTTTGGGATGCTGCGTTTGCCAGGGCAGCTTTCCGGGGCTGGGACACGAGATGCTGCTTTAAGAATCACGGCTGTTGAAAATGTTGCAGGACCGGGTGACCTTCTCTCTTTGCTCAAGCTGACTGAGCTTAGGCCCTACCTTCTCTCTTTGCTCGAGCTTACTGAGCTTAGGCTTCAACAGTTGGACTGAGGCAAAACTGTAGACAATCAAGGCTGCTCAGAACTCCGCTGTGCGGCTGAGGTTGCAGTGCAGGACTTGCTGAACAGCCTGAACAACACAGGCGACAACGGCGTGATGGGCGAGGTCGTCGACACCACGGAAGCTGGAGCGGTGAAGGTGCACCCCGTCGTTTGGGAGATCCCCTGAAGGAAGCCTGAGAAGCTTCAACCGGCGCAGTGCACACCCAAATATGGCCTATATCCCTGTTCTTCAAAGGTGGTTGCGTACGATGTGGAAGCTTTGACGTCATCGGGACAGAATGCTACCGTCAGCATGGAGAACTCTTCCATCGGCGCTGAGGCGCATGCTTCACCCCTCACCCCTAGCGGCCTAGCTGGCGCCCCTTTTGTGTGCATAAGACCTTCTGCCAGGTCCCCGTCGATGTACTGGCGCAAGCACAGGCGCTTGTGGGCGACGGCCCGGTGCTGCTGGGTGTGGTGTCCTTGAGCGAGGACTGTCTTGGGGAAGTTGCACCCTGGGTTGTCCGGGATCTTTGGGCTTTTGCGACCAAGGGTTTGAAGTGGACCAGGGACCCCAAGCCAGAGAGCTCTTGTTGTCCGTCTGGTGTGTCCGCCAACAGGATCTCGCCAAGAAGTTTAGCAATCCACCTGCTGACAGAGGGCCAGGCGAAGGACAGTCCGCCAGCATGTTCGCCGCTGCGCGAGCTCGCATGCACCACCCTGACGCATTGCGAGGGCCAAAGGCCCCCATTCTGCGGTCGAGCCCGGTCGTGGTCGAAGTGCGCAACAAGAACGGAGGCATTGTGGATCTAGGCGGGGCAGTGAGCGCTCAGCAGAAAACCTCAGAGTCACGGGGCAATGGGCCACCAACATGCTTCGCGCGAGAGCGCAATAGTGTGCCAGGGAAGCTGCAGAGCCCCATGGTGGTTCAGCTAGAGGCCTGGACCACGTGTACCTTCGAGGGTAGTCGCCTCGCCGTTGCCGCCGTTGCGGTTCCAGGTGTTGCACGACAATGACACTGTTAAGTGCGCCTATTGGAACGAGACCGAAGCGGCCTGGGAGACGGATGGCCTGGTCCGGCTGGAACTCAGGGCAGGCGTGCTCCGTTGCCAAACCCATCGGCTGGGTATCTTCGGGGGTGTGGACGTCTTCGAGGCCTGCTGAAGTGAAGCTGCCCCCGAACCCCAGAACGGATCTGGTGCCCGGGCAGGAACTGGAAAACGTGCTGAAGTGCAGCAGCCTCTTTGAAGTGCTCACCGCGGAGGGGATTGCAAAGTTGGCAAGGAGTGGGGGAGTCGAACTCAGAGTCGCTCGCAAATCGGAACGCACCACAGACAACAACAACAATAACAACAGACTTGTAAGAGTTTCGCCCTTCCAGACCTGGATGGCTTCTGCGAACACCGACAGTGATCTACCTGTGCTTCCTGCTCCTGCTGCTGGGCTTGTAACATCCTCCCGCAAGGCCAGCTCATAATTCCAAGTCTGAGCTGCATGAATTCCGAGGATCCCTCGATGCCTGTAAACTTCATGCTTCCCGCTTCCCGAAGCCGACGCAGCCCGAAGCCTTCCAGCACCTCCCTCAACAATGTGCGTGCCGAACCGAGATTCGCTTTGCTCCTCAGCTACGGGTATCACATGGATCGTCAGGTGCCAGCTGCTACGGGGTCACAGCATGTCACAGCGATTAGCGACTCTTCATCCCGCGTCGGGCGAGTCGGTGGTGCCGTTTTGTGCATGGTGACTTTGCGAGTGTGAAAGCGGGCGTTGTAGGGTTGGTATAATATGTAGACAAGTCTGCATCAGAGACATGGGAGAAGCGAGAGCAGCCAGGCCGAAAGAGCAATTCCTTCAATTGACCGCCAAGTCACGCTGCTGCGGGAGGACTATGGGGCTTTGTGTGTTGAGTCGACTCTTGGGGAATCATGTGGACTTGGGCAGCATGAGGGATTCCAACTCAAGTCTTCATGCCTCAGACCTGCAAACCGAAAGCCTGAACCCCAGCCAGGACGACGACCAGAAAGAGACCGGACTGTGTCGCTGCAACATGCTCCGCAGCTTGTGCAGCCAGGTGGCAGGACTTTCCGAAGCCTGCCCCGCAGCTCTGGCATGCTCTGCCACACTGGCACGTGACGGCCGTTCTGCAGGACAGCTGGTGTTTCTGGCCGGGCTGCGGCGCCCAAAGCAGTTCGCCAAGAAGCGCATCCAGAGTCTCATTGACGACAGCATCAGCCAGATCATCGCGTACAGGACATGCAATCTTTTAGGGCAGTCCTGGAGGTCTCAAGCCAAAGAGACGTGCGCCAGGATGGGCTTGGACATGATCAGCATCAACGCCCTCATTCCCGACAGGCAACACAGCATCCAAGAGCTGCGCCAGGAAGAAGAGGCCCGCTTTGGCAGAGACCTGTGGATGTCAAAGCGGTGCCCAACACCCGTGGTCTCATGCTCGTCAGGAGCAGCCAGAGCAGCCAACGCCCAGGCGGGGTCTTGGCGGATGCGCTTCGACGCGACGATTGCAGTGTCCGCCGCTCCAGGTCTCGAGGTTGCTTCTCCTGCCAGCCTGCCTGGATGAAGCAGGTGGAGAGCAGGCGCGATGGCGCTTCAACTGCAAGTGGTCGCTGGTGTGCAGATGTGTGCAGGGCGAGGAACCTAGCGGCTCGAGTTGGGGAGATGGCCCACGGGGCTTCGCGGGTGCATCCGGCCAGCAGCAAGAAGGCGCACTCGCAAATCGCGCAACTTCTGGACCTTCATCGCCGCTGGGCTCATACGGTAATCCTCGGCTTCGGAAGCTCTCAAGCATGAACCTCTGATCAGCTTCGCCTGGCCAGGTGCCGGGAATTCTGCCGTCAACACAGTGCTACGTGGAAACATGCGTGCCCTAACTCTGGAGTTGCTCCATGGCCAGAAATGGGAAAGGCCTCTAGCCTGCGCGATGTTCTATTTGCAGTTGTGCCCTAGGCTGCCAGCTGTCCATGCCTACTCCGCGATTCTACGAATCCTGGCGGCAAGGGTTGCCGTTGATTTGACGCACGATTCTCCGACTCATGACTGTGCCTTGCAAGGATGCTTTTCCATAACCCCAGTCAGCATCCAGATCTGCGCCATCATCCTGAAGATCCTGAGTGCTTGTGCCGTGGTTCGAAAGGTTGCTGCGCGTAGAAGAGCACGTCAGCTGTGTGAAGCGATTCCGCCGTTATAAGGTTTCATCAATGCGATCTTCTTGACAAGCAGCGCAAAAAGGGAGGACGTCGAAGGCACTCGGCCCACTGTTCGGACCTCGGCGGAAGGTGTCTTCTCTGGCCGCTACGGTGGCCCTGCCGCAGGATGCGACACCGAGATGCTGACTTTCGAACAACAGCTCGTTCGAGGTTTTTGGATTGGCCTCCTCTCAGCTGTGCTGAGCGATGTGATCATCCTCTGCCTGCTGCTGATCCAGAAGCCGTCGCTCAAGAAGATGAATCAGGAGATTGGAACCCTGTCAGCTGACCTAGGCTTGTAGTGAAGAGGGTTCCTGGGGCAGCGAGAGCGAAGCGAAGGTCAGAGGCGTGAAGAAGCTTGAACTGATGTCTCCTGGTGTGTGCAAGAGGAGAAGTGGGACCAGCAGGTGAGCAAGTGGCGGTGTAGAAGGTGTGTTTTTTGGGTGCCTTGGCGCCAACAGAACAGAATACATGTGTAATATAGCTTTGTATGCATAGGTGGATCCATGTGTAGCTTTGTATTGGAGTTTACCAGATGTTAAACCCCAAGCGCTGACCGAGTCGAGGTGCATGTCACTTGAAAGCGTTATGTTGACACGCGTGTAAACCCTCGTGCGTGCAAGACCGCGCAAGTGCGAGCGCAAGGGATGCCCGAATGCCGCGGCGTTGATGCTGAATTTAGAACAACATGCCGATGCAAATCCGGGCTTCGGCTTGAACTGTTAGCTGACACCTCGGTGGCCCCGGCGAGTGAGTGAGGTGGCTGCAGCCTGCTACGCGGCCGTGTGCGTCTCCTATGTGCTAGTGTTCCTTGCCAGCGTCACCTACGAAGACAGCCAAGCTTGGCTCGGAGCCACCTCCACGAGCCTTCTCAAGGACTGTGGCTCTTGTGCAAGAACTGGCCCAAGCAACCTTAACCCGAGCCTTCAGCAGCCCGGGGCTGACCCCTTCCCCAACAGTCCTTACGTGCTGCTTCTGGGTACGTGCACCGCAGACAGCGTCCTAAGTTTCTAGACTGGCATGGACAACTGCTGCTGAACGGCAAGCTACATGGGTCCGTTGCGTGCCATGCTATCTTTGGGACAAAAAGGACCCTAGTCTAGACACATCGATTCAGTCAGTCCTCGCAGTCCCTGCTGCTCGTCCCGGCAGCATCGGCAGTCATGCAAGGCAGGGCTTGATTCTTCGCGAAATCCCAAACTCAAGGGAGAATGGGTGGATGAAGTCAAGAGCAGGTTCTTTCTGAGCTTTTCCTCGAATGGGGATGGGATGTTAGTCAGCCTCATTCGGGCCAGTGTTTCTTGGGAGGCGTGCTCATCACGGTGGCTCTTTGGCACGATCCGACGCTGAAAGAACGTGCTTGGGCTGCGATCTGCTCTTGGACACCAGCGCTAGCAGGATATTGTTCAGTGTTATCAGCGGCAACTGTGGTGTTTTGTCGTCTGGCACCTGGTTTCAGTCATTGAAGATGTAGCTCCGTGGATTCAGCCATGAGCGGCCACAGTTTGAGATCCAACGCACCGAGAGCCATTAGGACTGCTTGAGAATAATCTGTTGGCATGTGTCATTCAGCTGTCTGCAGTGGAGCAAGTGCAGTTGGCTCATTGGGGGAACACCGTTGCGCCATGTATGCTTTGTACGACGATTTGCGGCCATGCTTCTCGCGAACTTTCGATGCTGATCCGATCCGTGTGAACTGTGGAGGCATTCGTCAGAAGTGGATGAAGGATCCCCAGAAAGCCGGAGAAGACCAGGCAGCCGGCAATCCGGATAGCTTGTTTAGTATCTCTTAGTCATGAAGAGGCACGTG